TAATGCCTATGTCATTTTAAAGTCAACAGATGTGGTAGGATTTTAAACTAATGAGATGATATAGAAAGTAATAGTGTCGAAATGTTTTGCCTTCCATTTCCATAAGAAGTATGCACAAGTGACGCTGATAATGATAGTTCCTATTACTACAATAATGACAGTGATGAATGCCCTATGCCTCTTCTTATCTATCATAGAAGAAAAAGAATGTAAAGAAATTCTTGCCAAAAAATAAAGTTTGAAGAACTAAATTCCAAGTTTTCTAAGAAAATTTAGATACCAAAGTCTAAATAGGCTGCACGAATATATAGGTCAATTCCTCCATTTGAGAACTGTTGTATGTCAATTAGATTTTCTTTCCAAGTCATATAGCCAAGAACTGAATTATATGAACATGCTTTACAAGTGTAGTTCTTCAAGCACTAGATTTTGCATTTGTCTTCTGAATTGGATGATTGTTCACTAAAGCCTGGTGCTTTAACATTTTACAGATGGAAAAATGCATCATCCTTTCCATTGGAACTCCCATTACTCACTTTCTCACATTGCAGAGTTGATTTCCTAACACAACCACCTGTCCAATTTTTTCTATTCCATTCCTCCCTATTTCTTGGCTCAAACCCATTCAATCAACTGCAAATTGGTACACTCTTTGAATTGCAAATTCTGAATTCTCCACATATACCATAAACATCACAATCTGAATTTTAAACAAGATTGGTTTCTTGCCATTGCCTCTTAGTATCATCCCATTGCTTATGTAATAACTTTCCTTTTGCATTCAAAACAATTATCTCTTTCACGTTAGACCCATTCGATAAGCTAACAGCCATCTCTTTGGCACCATAACTAGCTGAACTCATACTGAGGATTGTTGTGAAGTCTTGGCCATTCCATAGGCCACTACGCTAATAGGGCCTAGTTGCATTCCATATGAACAATTCTGGAAAGTTTAGTTGTCCTAGACTCAAAGAGAAATTGCCCAGGGATGGATTAGACTGATTTTTCCATCATGTTAACTTCTATTTCTCCCCTGTTCTTTTATTGCTGGTAATTTTCATGCCTGGCAACAATGTATCTAAAGGAAGCTCAAAACTTTGCCATATGGTTTTAATCTGGCTATTAATTAGGACAAGGTTTCTAGAATCTAAAATCTGACTAATAGTAGATGAAACATTTGACACACTTGACGACCAAATGGTTTGGTTTTTCCCATCTAATACCATAAGATTCATCTTCAGATATCATAACAATTCCTGAAGCATCCCTCAATGGTCGATTTCTGTTAGCTACCCATATAATAGTGGAATTAGACATGTACCAAATTCCCACATAGTGATTTGTAGAATTTTTAGGACTAAAGAACCCTAGTCTAAACAGCCCCCTTTCGAGCTTGTTGTACCTGGATCCTTGATGTAGTGAGATGATGTGATGGTTTTTGTGCATGTTGAGGAGCCAGATGTGTCCAAATTTGTATAGGGGGATTCACAAAAGGTGATAGTATAATCTACACCTTTACATGTTAATTGGCTTAGCTGATCATCAAGCAGATAGCTATAGGTGTAACATCCCAAATTTTATTTGGGTTTATAAGTAGTTATTTATAGAAAGTTTGGATTAAATCATTGATCAAGCAAATAAAATATATAGATAATAATAAATTTAAGAAAATGAGACATTTAAAAGAGAGTCAAATAAAATAAAACAAAATTGTAAATAAGTGAATAGGTATTTAAAAATAATAATAAATAGAAAAAATGGCTTTGGATGATGACAATCATAGTAATAATAATAATATGAAATAGATTGAAATTCAAATTTCAAATCTGTTTTATGAAGTTTAAAAAAATATATATACCTATATTTATATTAAAAAAAAAAAAGGATTGAGTTTAACATCAAAAACAAAAAACGGGGGGATATTGGGTTACTTTTAAACTATATATATAAGATCTGATTCGAATATGATATATATGAATACATGTATATATATATATATAAAAGTAAAATAAGTGAAAACCCTACATTATACTTTTGAAGACCCTCCTCTGCTCCGTTTTCAGTAACCACACCGTTGCAATTCTTCGCATACTCCAGAGGTATTGTCTTCCCTTTCTCCCTATCTTCTTCCTATAGTTTGGCTCCATATATGAGTTTTGTCCTTTTCCCTATTAAGTATATCCTATCGTTTAAAGTCTATCTTGGCTTTTGACTTTTGTCTTTTCTCACCTATGAGCATGTGCACCCTTTTCAATCCTCCTTATCCAATATACATGTATGTGTATAATACCAAACGTACTCTCTTCTTGGTTTAATCAAATGACAAGTTTTATTGGTGGGTATATATATTTATATATACAGAGATACACACACTAATTTATAAACAGTTGGGGTAGATATAAAACAAAATTTATAGACCCAGCCTAGCTCCAAGCTTGTTGAGTGGCCTCCAGATTTCTTAGTGTGTGCGCGTGCGTATACGGAGATATATATATATATATATCTCTCTCTGTGTGTGTGTGAGTGTGTGTGTTATGTTATGAGTTTAGTTAACTTATTTATCCCAAACTGATGCTCCTTTTTGAAATTTAGGATTCAAGCTTTCTCTTTCATTAGGATATGTCAAACCTTTATAATGGCTCAGTGTTGCCTCCACAGATGTAAAACCCGCATGTACTTAGTCTTATCTATATACCCACATGTAAAATCTAGATTTAAATTATAACAATTTAAAATTTTGTAAACCTGGGAATCTGCTATAAAAAAATTGAATAAATTTTCACTACGAGGAACTTTAAGGTTCTATAAATATGCAGCTAGGATAAATTTAATAATAGTATTTACCTAAATGAAAAATGAGATTTTTATGAGTGTCATTATATCTATTTTTTTGGCTGACATTAAGGCCCCCAGACAGCTTAGGAAAATTTTAGAATAGTAGGGGTAAATTTTTTATGGATCAAAATTTTTTAATTAATAGTTGGTACATGTGTGTGACTTTTGTAGACTCTCACTGAGAGCCTTGTTGCTTGAGATTTGCTACTTGACTACTTGTGATCTTAAGGAAACCAGGTGACTTGGGGTTTTTCTATGTGTGTGCAATCTTTATCCATCATGATTAAATTGGTATTAACAGTAGTAGATACACATAACTCTATCAGCTTAATGGACACAAATAAATAAATAAGACTAAAAAGGTGAAGGAATAAAATTGTATTATTTTCTATGTTATTTGAATTTTTCTTTAAGCGTGAATGTGTTTTGGTTATTTTTGTGAAAATTTATGGCAATTCATTTTCTTTCAAGCACGCTTGCATATACTGGATTTGTTATATATTCATGACATACATAGGCGATTGGACTTGGGAGTTTATGATATTGATATGTGTGACAAATTATGATCACGTGGTTTGCCTCCACTTAGTACAAAGTGGTTGGCCTTTTAGGGCCCCGTTTCTTAATACTTACCTGGCCAGGTTTGTAGAGGGGGAATGTGGGACAGTGACACCTCCTAACTCTTTTAGGGAAGGAAGCCATAGTCTACCTTGGGCTTTGTATCTTTAGCCAGATACATCCTAAGTACTGGAGTAGCTTTGGTCAGTCTAGTGTGTGGGCCAGACCGTGTATAAGCCTATGGTTCCAGTCAACGGATTAAGGTTGGATAGAGCAATAAGGGAGGAAGCATCCATTGCATATGAACATGGTATATCATTAAATTAGTTACATATTTTGCTAACAATTATTTAAGTTGTTCTAATATCTGTTTGCCTAGCTAATATGAAAATGTTTGGGTAATGGTTGTATCTACATGGTTGAACTCTGGGTTACTGAGACGTTTGTGCTTGCCCCAATTATTTAACATTTTCTAGGTGACAATCCTTATAGGGAGCAAGAGAAGGTACCAGAAGAGTGAGCTAGTTGCTCTTACACTTCTCAAGTACATGCTGAGTTAATTTGATTCTTTACTATTTGCCATGACCCTAGAACACAAAATCATTAATTAATTCCTTGAATTGATGGAGTTTAGTGTTTTATTTCAAGTTTTCTCCACAGTTTATGTTATGTTAGACTTTGATACTACAGACTTGGATATTTATGCTCGAATTATATTATGGATTTTATTGCTCAGGTTTATTTGATGTAGTAGTTAAAAGGCCGAGTCTGTAAGTGTTTACTTCATTATTGAGACCTTAGGATTAAACTAGTTTTTACATGGTGTTTTAAATAGCTTAGAAAATTGGGTGTTACATTTTTGGTACCAGAGCCACAATATTTTGTGGCCTTTTCTATTTTTTATTTTCATCGTTACTTCCCACTAAAATTTGTTAGAGGTCATGGCAAATAGATATCAGCATGTGCCCTTCCCTTCCCCTTACATATCTAATTACTTTAATTATTCTCTTCCTTTGGCTAACTTTAACTTATGTGGTGACCTTACATAAGAGAGGAGAAGAATGGTGAACACTAGACAAACTACATGACTAACCAACACAAACCCACCTTCATCACCTCCCTAAAATCATTCACAAGGCAACGATGTCATTTTGAGGGAGTTAAGAGACGCAATCCAAAACATAGGATAGATATTGAATAGGCATGAAGAACAACTAGCTGCAATGAAAGAGTAGAGTAATCACCTTGCCAAGGGAAAAAGCCCTCTTGTCGATGAACCCAATGATCGCCATTCTGCGGGAGGCTCCAAGTATGAGTTTGGCAGCAGTACTCACAAGTTCTCCCAACTCAAACTTGCTAAGATCACTCAAATTTGGGAGAGTTTTTGAAAGTTTAACCCTCCAGTATTTGAAGGAAAACTCAACCCAACTGAAGCTGAGGAATAGGTGAAGCAAGTGGAAAAGATCTTCAGGATTGTCTAATGCACCTCCCATCAAAAGGTGCAATTAGCTGAGCAGTTGTTACAAAAGGCAGCCCAGTAATGGTGGGATAGTACGAAACCAGATGATGATGCAGACATTACTTGGGAAGAATCCAAAGATAAATTCATGCAATATTATTTCCCTCCAGCTATTAGAGTCGAGAGAGAGGCTGTATTTTATACTTTCAAACAAGAGAGTCTGCACGAAGACGAGTTCATTGCTCGCTTTTTGGAACTATCTAAATATAGCACTTACCTTCAGGAGCACCATAATCCAAAATGGATGTGTGAGCAATTGCTGGAGAAAGCTAAGCCGGAATTGAGAATAGCATTGGCACCACTTAAGATAGAGGACTTTGAAAAGTTATGCACTGAGTTGTGCATCACTGCTAGAAGGATGAGGGAAGAAGAAGCAGAAAAGAGGAAGGAATCCCAAGACAAGTATGCCTCTTTCATGAGACCTATTGGGGGTGTCAGTAAGAGGAACAGTTATAGTACTGGAGGATCAAGTAAGCGACCCCAACAACCTCCAAGGAGCCAGTTCAATGGGCCTCCAAGAAACCAATTCAATGGACCTCCTAGGAATCAGTATAGTGGACCTTCAAGGAGCTAGTTTTTGGGGGGACAAGATTCTGCCAAGGGTTCTTTTACTCCTGCAACTAGTACAGCAAATAGCTAGAGGTGTGCCAAGTGTGGAAATGTGCATTCAGGAAGCAGATGTTTAATATGCTTTAGGTACAGAAAGCCAGGCCATGTTGCTAGATTTTGTGAGACTGACTCATCAGGAGCTCATGAGAATCGAAACATTGTTTCAGGTAGGGTGTTTGCAATGACCCAACAAGAGGCAAATAGAGCACCAAATCTCATAAAAGGTACTCTCAAACTCCAAGGCTCTGAAATTGAAGCTCTTTTTGATTCAGGGGTAACCCATTCATTTGTATCTGATAATTGTGTGATGCGATTGAAATAGTGTGTTTATAAAATGTCTTATGATATGATTGTCTCTACACTGGCTGGAGCTTCAGTAAGAACCTCCCAGACTACATTAAATTGTGTTCTTGAGTTTGATGGTAAAATTTTACCTATAGATCTAGTTTGTTTACCCTTACGGGGTATCGATCTCATAGTGAGAATGGATTGGTTATCCGCAAACCATACCATCCTTGACTGTAAGAGGAAGACTGTTTCCCTACCAACTGCTCTAAATCTTTCCAGTGGACCGCAACTACTGTCATCTGAACAAGTTGAGAGATCTATTCGAAAGGGATATGAGGCTTATATGGTATTCTTCTCCATTCAAGTTGAAATGGAAGAGGAAGTTGAAGATATAGTGATAGTAAGTGAATTTCCTAAAGTGTTTCCTAAGGATATTATAGGTTTGCCCCAAAAATAGAAGTAGAATTTGTAATTGACCTTATGCTCGGAACAGAGCCTATTTCTAAAGCTCCTTATCAGATGGCTCTAGCAGAGTTAGCAGAGTTAAAGAAACAGATTGAAGAATCAATAGAGAAGGGTTTCATAAGGCCTAGAGTTTCCCCTTGGGGATCATCAGTACTTTTTGTGAAGAAGAAAGATGGAAGCATGAGATTATGTATCGATTATCACCAACTGAACAAGGTAACTATAAAGAATAAATATCCTCTACCACAAATTGATGATTTACTTGACCAATTGAATGGAGTAGCTGTTTTCTCCAAAATTGACTTGAGATCAGGTTATCACCAGTTACGAGTTCAAGCTGAAGATATCTCGAAAACTGCATTCCGTACTAGATATGGGCACTATGAGTTCCTAGTCATGCCATTTGGGTTAACCAATGCTATAGCAGTCTTCATGGATTACATGAACAGGATCTTTAGGCCATATTTGGATAAATTTGTAGTGGTCTTCATTGATAATATCCTTAAATACTTTAAAGATGAGAAAGAGTATGAGGGGTACCTTAGAATGATACTGCAGGTATTAAGGGAGCATAAGCTCTATGCGAAGCTATCCAAGTGTGAATTTTGGCTCAAGGAAGTTAAGTTTTTAGGACACATTGTGTCAGCAGAAGGGATGTCTGTAGACCCTAACAAGGTTGAGGCAGTGTTGAATTGGGAAAGTTTGCAAAGTGTGACTAAGATCAGGAGTTTACTAGGGTTAGCAGGTTACTATAAAAGATTCATTAAGGGATTCTCACAAATAGTCATGCCTTTAACAAAGTTGACAAAGAAGAATTGTGTATTTCTTTAGATTGAAAAGTGTGAGGCAGTATTCCAAGAACTGAAGACCAGATTGACTACAGCACCTATGCTTGTGATCCCTGACCCCATACAACCATTCATGTTATACATAGATGCTTCAAAGAAGGGTCTTGGGTGTGTGTTAATGCAAAATGGTAAGGTTATAGCTTACGCTTCAAGACAACTAAGACCACATGAGGAGGATAACTTGGAACTGGCAGCAGTTGTGTTCACTTTGAAGATCTGGAGGCACTATCTTTATGGTTCATGGTTTGAAGTCTTCAGTGATCATAAAAGTTTAAAATATCTATTTGATCAAAAGGAACTCAACATGAGGCAAAGAAGGTGGATGGAATTTTTGAAAGACTATGATTATGAGTTGAAGTACCATCCTGGAAAAGCTAATGTTATCACAGATGCTCTAAATCGAAAGTCTATCCATGCAGCTCAAATGATGGTTTGAAAGTAGAGATTGTTGGAAGATGCCCAAAATGTCCCTATTGAGATCTCTGGGTTGTTCGCTACTATGGAAGCATTGACAATCGAGAGGGTAACATGGAAAGAAGTTAAGTTTGCACAACTAGAGGATGAATTTCTGTTAAGAGTTAGAGAGAAAGTTGAGGAAGGAAGGGGTAAAGACTTTGAGGTTAGCAATGATGGTCTCCTACAGTATAGAGAAAGAGTATGCCTTCCTAATGATGACAGGCTAAAGACACTCATATTGGATGAGGCTCATAGGAGTAAGTACACCATTCATCCTGGGGTGACTAAAATGTATCATGACTTGAAGAATGATTGGTAGTGGCTAGGAATAAAAAAGGATGTAACTGATTTTGTCATTCACTACTTGACTTGTCAATAGGTCAAAATTGAATATCAAAGACCTCCAGGACCATTGCAAAACTTAAGTATTCTGAAGTGGAAATGGGATAGCATTACTATGGATTTCATCATGGGTTACCTAGAACCCTCTCGGGGTATGATGCCATTTGGGTAGTCGTGGATCGTTTAACTAAGTCGGCTTATTTTCTACCTATCAAGGCTAACTACCCATTGGAGAAGCTCTCTCAGATTTATATGGATGAAATAGTTAGGTTGCACGGGGTGCCAGAGAGTATTGTGTCAGATCATGATCCACGTTTTACTTCACAGTTTTGGAAATCATTGCATCATTCTTTAGGTACTTAGCTGAATTTTAGCACCGCTTATCACCCTTAAACTGACAGACAGTCTGAGAGAACCATCCAAACTCTTGAGGATATGTTACAAGCTTGTGCAATTAAGTTGAAAGGAAGTTGGGATAGTCATCTTACGCTTGCCGAATTTACATATAACAACAGTTTTCATTCTAGCATCCAAATGGCACCATACGGAGCACTGTATGGAAGGAAATCTAGATCTCTCCTTTGTTGGACTGAGTTGAGTGAGAGAAGCATATTGGGACTTGACTTAGTAGATCAAACCACCCAGAAAATTGAGTTAGTCAAACAGAAGCTACGCACGGCTCAGAGTAGATAGAAAAGCTATGCTGATAGGCGGAGATGACTGTTGGAGTTCATGGTAGGTGACTATGTTTTCTTAAGGGTCACACCGATGACAAGCATTAGAAGATCAATTAACGCTAAGAAGTTGACTCCTAGATTCATAGGTCCTTATGAAATTCCAGAAAGAGTTGAGCCAGTAGCCTACATGATTGCTTTGCCCCCTCAATTGGCTAATGTCCATAATGTATTTCACGTATCACAGTTGAAGAAATATCATCCAGACCCCTCCCACATCATTGAACCCAAGGAGATACAGATTCGGGAAAATATGACCTGCAACGTGGAACTAGAAAGAATCATAGATGCTAGGGATAAACAATTAAAAAATTAAATCATCCGACTTGTTAAGGTCGTATGCAGGGGAATGACCCTAGGTGATGCTACTTGGGAAACCAAAGAAAAGATGAAACAAGAATACCCCCACTTGTTTGCTTAGATATGTGATTAATTTGTATGCCTGTTGTGTTTGTTTGACGTGTTGTTTTGTTTGCAATTAGTTGTTTTGATTTGGATACCTCTAAATTTTTGGGACAAAACTTCATTTAGGAGGGGAGAACTGTAACATCTCAAATTTTATTTGGGTTGATAAGTGAAACGTCCTACCTTTAACCCCTCAAAGCACGTATTCGTAAGCGTTATGGTTCAAGCAGATCACGACACAATCCCGCGGATTTAAAATTTCAACATAACTACTCGGGTTACTATTTACTATTTAACTTCCAGATTACAGATCCAACTTCAAAAATTCATAACTAATTCCATAAAAATCATATTGGAGTGTTCTAAAATTTTACAAAAATTTATTTCAATGATCTTTAAGGAAAAAATATCCAATTGTAATTATCCTTGCCCAATTCGTACAGTTTAATCAATAAATATTACTGCTCATTTCGTAAAATCTGAAACTTTCAGATTTTATGCCTCAAATTTGAAAATTCGTATCTCCTTGTGTACACATCCAATTGAGGTGATCTATGTCTCATTTTAAAGCTTGGGATGTGTACTATAAATCTACCAAATCTCGTGACTTAACTCATTCGTTTGGTAGGTCAAACTGGAGCTACAAACTCACTACTCTAGGACCTACGTTCTATCCCTTAACATCTCTTTACTTTAATTCTTTTTATTTTTTTGGCATACATAACATAGGCTTAATCTTTACCGTTCATGCTCATACCTTTCTATACATGCCATAAGCATTATAATTAAATACATGACATCATTAGCATCCACAACATAAATTACATAACAGGAGAATTACACATTGAATAATAATATCATTCATTAACATGAACAATTCTCCACTTTCTTCTCCTTGCTTCTCATGCCATTATTGCCCATTGATGATTGAGCTAAATAGTTGGATAGGGAGGGGGTGAGATTTGGGCAAATCTCAGTAGCAAACAATACCAAATTAATCATGCTAGATGGATGCTAATGCACTATATGTAACCTGGTTGTTCTCTTGTTAGTTAGTGACATATTAGCATGCTTAAAGCTACCTTCTTGATGCATGGCCATGGAGACATAATCTACTCATCATGAATAGCAATTATAGTAGCTAAAACATGTCACATTAACATTCAAATAACATGTACACAGCAACACACAAGCATACAACATCAAGCAATGACAATAGGTAAGTTCACTACCTTGCACCTCAAGCTTTCCTCTTACTTTTCCTTTGACTCCCTTGACTTTCCAACCATGTGGGCATTCAGTTAACATCACCAAACATCCTCTTGGATGTTCCAAGGTCTTAGACATAGTCACATTGATCACACAATCTATTAGAACCACTAGATTACATAATATTCAAGACTAGCTCTCTTGAACCTCAACCCTTTCTCTTGGTTGTAGGGTTTTCTTTCTAGCTTTTCTAACATAAATATCATCATTTTCTATCCTTGAGATCCATGTCTTATTAATTAGGATCACTTTAGATGGCCTTAGATTCAAGAAGATCAAATCTGAAAATTTTGCTTCACGGGTACTGTTCACACAGAAATTCCAGAATTTTTGCTCAATTTTGGAAATTCATAATTAATTTTGGAAAAATCAAAACTGAGTGGTTCTAAATCTCACTGAAAGCTCCTTAAGTTCTCTTTAAAGGAAAAATAGTTTCAGGAACCAATTCTATGCTGAACAGTACCAGAATTGTACGGAATTTGACACTCTTTTAAAGGTTAAACATTGTTTTTAGA